ATATGCAGCTTTTTGTTTGAAACCAGTGTAGAACACGGATTCACACAAGGTCACATCACGCACCTGCAGCGTTTCTGTGAACGGAGAAAACAGAATAAAACTATATTGGCTACATAAAAAGGAATATATAGGCCTATAGACAAAATATATTTCACTTAAATCATTAACAGATTAACAAAACGAAAGAAAAAAATTGTGCTGAGTTTCAGATAATAATGCACGCCGAAGTTCACGGGGGGGGGAACGAGACGGCAGAAAGCCGTGTTCTTTATTTTGCAAAAGCTTTACAGTTTTGAATGATGTTTTGCTTCTATCTGTATGACCAACCAGCATTGTTATGACCATAAATTAGCCTACCCATAACAGTTGGTAAAACAATGCAGTGATCGCATCGGTGCCTCACACGCACATACAACAAATTTTTGCTAATTTGACATCGCAGCCTGTTCATTATCAAAATAAAATACAGTTAAAAAACATTAAAATTTACACAGCTCAATTTAAATAGTCCGTAGTACAGTCTGTGCCATTCAGTGTGACCAGCGCCACACTGCTGACATAGCCTATATGTGAAGGATGATGTTTTACGTCGATAATGCGAGTGAAGAACAAAGCCTATAGTTTAATAAATAGGTTAGCATCCAGATACTTCGCGAATATGGAAACATTTGGATTCCTGCAGAATGAGAGGTAGGCTTCAGTTTTGTTTTTAAATGAATTCGTTTTGGCTTGACGCTTATATTTAGCACAACTTTAGAGGATTTGTTGTGGAGAGAAGGGAACTAAAATAGCCTAATCGTGTTTGTAATTTTGCTTTAATTTACTGGTATTTTAGCCTACATTATTTCTGAATGTAATAATAAAATGCAACCTACAGCCTATTAATTTAGGCTGTTTTTTTCCCCTCTCAAAACGCTTAGGAGTAGAGTTTTTTTTATCCATGCTGAAACATATTTAAATATCTTGAAAAAAAATACTTTAATGTTTTTAATGCGTTGACAGTTTTTTCCTATGTTTAATACACTTGGTCTTTGCTAAATCTAGAAAAGATGATGCTGTATTGGCTATGACTAAGCGAGATCAAGACTCTCTTCATGATTTTTTGTCTTTTTGAGTAAATAAAACACTGTATTTTATTATTATTATTATTATTAGCAAAGAAAAAGTTTAAAAAACAACGTTATTAACCAGTATGTTTTCTACTCAAACCGGTTTCACAGAGGAACGCAGGAACAGAAACGTTCACATACCGATTCTGCTCGGAGTGAACCAATCTTTTTTTTGTTTGTTTTTAAGCCCTGCATTATGCAATTGACCAATATCGGTATCGGTATCGGCCAACAGTTGTTTGTTAAAATCGGTATTGTATCGGCCAGAAAAAATACTATCGGTGCATCCCTAATAAATACTATATTAGTATATAAATAAAAAATAAAATTACATTTAGTGTAAAATGCCGTAAAAAGGAAAGAAAAGGGATGCTCAATCGTCATGGAAATTGAAAGGTTAAACCAAGACCATTGCATTATGGGATACAGAACCCCGCCTAGCAAACTGTTGTATACCGCACATTTTGGAATATATAGTATATCATGCATACAAAATATATTTTTATTATGTGTTTAGTATGATAGCATACCATTCCGAACAAGCGTACCAACTATGAAAATAAAATTAAAAATCAATGTGAATGATTTTTTGCCAACTTTTTGGCGTGGCAAATTAAATTCTCCTACATTTTCCCCGCGAAACGCAGCACATCCTTCAAATAGCACCAATCCAAATGCGAATTGTAATACGGCCCAAGTCTGGGACCAGGGCGACGCACTCATTATTTGAGTTAATTACTTGTTTCTTCGGAGCCGTAATTCCAGATTTCACACTCTCTGTTAGGCAGAGAGGAGCCTGGGAGATGCAAACACAAAGCAAACCATCAGAAGTTTAGGTGTGCATTTCCTCAGCACATAAAAGGGATACAACAGCTGTCTCTAGAAAAGTGGGCTATCGGTTTTCAGTGTGCTGGTGTGTTTGTCCGCTGGCCCGTGGTGCAGAGAGCGAGACGTCTGCCGTGATGAGGTGCGCCTCACCTCGTCAATTTCTTGGGTTCGGTGAGAGGGGTTGGTGGGGGCAGGGGTTTGCTCGTGTTAGGCTCCAGCTGGTGAATGGGGGAGTTGGGGATGGGTTCGAGGCGGTTGGGCTGGGGCTGGCCGCTCCCTGTCCCGGAAGCCTCCACATTGGCCCTAAGATTGGCCGAGCTGCTGAATCGGGTGGCTGATTTGTCGTTCTTTCGCTTTTGCTACATAGGACAACAAGAAAAGCAAACAAAAAGGAAGTTGGGAGAGCTTGACGCTCCATTTTTGAGAGGTTCTCCTAATGATTGCTTCCTAACAAACGCCCACCCTGAAAGTCAAGCTCGCAACACTCAGCAGAGGAAGCATCAGTCGCTCTCAGCCAATCAAATCAAAATGAGTCGAAAGAGATGTGTCAGAGGAAGAGGCTGTTGAAAATTTCAGACTGAAAGAAGAATGGCTTGGAGAGCAAAGAAGAACTGGATGTCTAAACAGGAAGAGAACGCGGAGCAACGAGAGACAATGACAGTCACACGTGAACACACACACACATAAATACACATGTAATCACCGACACTTGGAAGTTATAGAACACAGATGAGGGCAACGGTGAAATATCTGGTCAAACAGAATGACATTGTTGAGACTGGGTCAGGAACTGCTGTGACGTATGGAACAAACATCATTTTCTCTCAAGCTCTGGAAAAACAGGAAGTTAAAGGGAGTCACTCAAAAATGAAACTCCGGTCATCATTTACTCACCATAGCGTTGTTTTGAACCTGTATGACTTTGAATCTTATACGGGCTCTTTTGTATGCAATTGCGAGGTTTTTACGCTTCAAAATGGATGCAAATGGACCATGAAAAGTTCATAAAAATAGTATTCTGAGCTTATACGATTACTTTGAAGATCAGAAAAACAGTTATTTTTTCAAAAATTAATCATTCGCATTCATTGATTCACTGAGAATATCCAAAATAAAATCTAAAACTATAAAAAATGTTTTTTAATTAAAATAAATCTGAAATAAAATAAACTACAAATATAAGATGGAATACGTAAAAACCTAAACAAAAATGTGAAAATTAGAAATGTTGCCTTGGCAAATAAATTAAATAAATACATTTAAGTACTAATTTAAGTACTAAAACTGCTAAAACTGAAACTGAAACAAAAGCTAAATAGAAATATAAAAAAAATACAAAAAAGACAACAAAAAAAACCTAAAAAAATAACAAACAACAAAATTGCTAATACTTGAACTTAAATGTAAATAAAAAATAGAATGAAATATAAAATGAAAACCTAAGTGAAAATATTAAAATACTAATAAATACTATTTTAGCATAAAATTATGAATACAATAGTTTCTGCATAGGTGGTATGGTAGTATTTCATGTCAAACAAGTTTTCAGACTACAAAAATTAAATAAAAATAACATTTCATTCACCGATAAGAATAAGAAAATATATCATACAGCTTCAAGAGAATTGCAAATTGTATGCACTACTTTTATGATACTTTCATGTGGATTTTTTTGTCCCTTTTATGCTTGAAAGCTTCTGTCCCTGTTCACTGCAGTTGCATGGAAGAAACTATCCAGTATAATATAATACATTTTTCTGTTTCCATGCAGGTTTGGAATGACATGAGGGTGAGTAAATTATGTCAGAATATTCATTTCTGGGAGAACAATCCCTTTAATAGTGTGTGTGTTTGTGCGTTTGTTTGTTTGTTTGTTTGTTTGTTTGTGTGTGTGTGTGTGTGTGTGTGTGTGTGTCTGTGTGTGTGTGTGTGTTGTGTGTGTGTGTGTTGAGTGTGTGTGTGTGTGTGTGAGCTCTAACATGCTCCCAGTGAACAGTGTTTCCAATGAACAGTCCGGCATGTCAGTTGTATTGCCTTTGATTGCACCCCAGCAACACTCCACCCTAACCAGGCACAACACATCTACTAAAGTAATTTTCACAGTAAACAGAGCATATATGATGTTTAATATACAGTTGTAGAAAAGGATTTTTATCAAAAAATTGGAACCAAGTGACTGTCATGATATCTGTGCAGCTGGTTGGGAACTCCAATTAGCAATATACTCAAGTAATTTATCACTTTTTGCTTTTTTGTGTCATGCCTGGCTAGAATACAGTGTAAGAAATTACATTCAAGATGAACTATCAAGCCTCATTCACTGCTGTCATTTCCAAAACTTAGTGAGCTGCCTCGCTGTCTACTGTCTATATATTAGACACAACGTAAAGACGATGTATACACATATGAACATGCATTTCGTTCTATTTCTTTGTGTTCTGCCAAGCTTTTTTTTTTTTTAAGCAGATCACTAGGTTTTGGAACAGCAACTACATCTTAAACTAACCAACTACCAGCTCCACACACAAGGACACAGCAGAGTACAAAGAAGAACTCTTACCTTGACAAGAGGGTTAATGACACCAACATTAGGATTTGTGTTGAATATTTTGTTGAAGTTGGTCTCTCTGTTGACAAGCTCCAGCTGGTAAAACTTTTTGTCATCCTGGAAGGAAAAGTAGATCTCTCATGATATTCATGGACAATATAACAACACTGACATAAGAGCACCTTTTGTCTCCAGAACACGTGACTCAACACAAACATCTGCTAGTTAAGTGTTTTGCCAGATTAAATATATGAACAAAAATTAATGTAAGCTTCTACTAAAAATACTATTTCATGTGAAATTGTTTAATATATATATTTTTATTTTATTTTTCTATGTGCATTTTACAAGTCCATACAGTAAGAAATTGTATCATAACTCGAAAAAATATTTTAACAAAATCACAAAAATAGCCATGACACAATGTGAATTTAAAATCTAAATGTATACATTTAAATATAAGCAATATAAAAACATAGGCTACATTTGAATTAAAACAGGATATTTTTGAGTTCCCACCACCACTTATGTTCCTCAAAATAATAATAATAAACTGTCATTATAAGTGACCAAATGAAGCTAAACTGACATTATTTTAATCCCATTTGACATTCATAATGTTTATTTTTCTTTCCTTACATTCATTAAATATCACATATCTATGGAAGCCAGATTTGCCTTTAAATAAATAAAACAAATGAGGTAATTTTGACTATTTATCTAACAATTCTGGCTTCTTCTGAGAAAAAAAAAGTCAGAACTCACAATTCTGACTTTTTTCCCCACCATGGAATAAAAAATAAAAAAGGTAATATTTTTATCTCACAACTCTGACTTTTTATTTTCACAATTGCAAATTTATTTCATAAGTATGAGTTTAAATCATGCAGTTCTGAGTTTATAGGTAATTGTGACTGTGTCATCTTGCAATTCAGTCTGAATTATGAGAAAAAAAGAGTCACAATTACCTTTATTTATTTATTTATCCATCCATCCTGTGGCAGAAATAAGCTTTCATACATATCCACATAACTACAAAAGTTATATAATCGTCAGTATCAAACCATATGTTATTTTCATTTCAGCTTTGGTTAAGTAATTCAACTTTACTTGTAATCATTTGTATGCGTCACTGATTAAATGGTTTCAATGCATCAGGTAAATTCACTGTTAAAACAAAACAGCTTAGCTGGTGTAATTTTAGCAGGTGCTAGTGCAATTTTATTGTGGTCTGAATCTGAAAGATACAAGAAACATAGATGCCAAACATCTAACACAGCTATTTTATGAGCAAAGAAAGTCTTTTCGTAAACCACCATTGTTTTAAGGGGTGACTTTCATAGAAAAGCAGTTGTCACTGTGTCTAGAGCAGGATTAAGCTGGTCTTTTCAGCAGGGTTGTCTGTCCTGAAATAGATCTATCCCTCCAGTCTTGCGAGACTCTGCTAATCTCAGCAGGACCGAGCACCCGTGGGATACCTCGTCTTGTGTAACAGCATTCACAGCTGAGAAATTTCACAATAAACCTGAGATATTGTGAATGAGCATGTCACACTTCTTAAAATGCTCTTACCACCAGTTTCTTGACCAAAGATTCTCTCTCGGCCACCATATCCTTCAGTTCGGCTATTGTCTGCAGATCTTCAGGCCTGCTCTCTCTGTTCCGGAATTTGTCTTCTGTTCCCTCCAACCTGAAGAGCAAAGACATTTTATTTAGGATGAGATTGTACAAACTCTACGACCTTTACATCAGTGGATCTTAATGTCTTTATTATTAACATTTAACATTATTTTTTATTATTAGCATTTAGCATTGTTTTCCCCAGTCCAAGATGGTGGATGAGGAAAGAAATGTAGAATACAAATGAACTTGCATATCAACCAGTTAATGAAAATGATCAAGAATTGAACTTTTTTTTTTTGAGATTTTTTTGTGTTTTCATGTTCATTAAAGCATTGCTGCGTTAGCTTAGCAACATGCTAATGATAACAATTTTGAAATCAATTGAAGTAGCATGCAAAGCACTATTTGTGTAGGCAGTGGAGTTGCTAACTATGTAGAACACTTCAAATTGTTCACTTAAAGTTTCCATGATTAGGATGCTGTCTAGGCAGCAATATGAGTCACATGGTTTAGAAATTGAGCTATCAACCCTCTCGCCACTCTGTTTACAATCAGTCTGTCATCTGTTTGGGCTTGTGACTCATTACTGAGAGTGAAATTTGACTATTCTGACACTTTAGCTTAGTTAGAAAGCAAAGCTGATGGCTTTGTGCTTTGAACACAGAATGAATTAAACACCACTGGTAATATCACTGTTATGATATTGGCATCTGCCTTTTATTTTCTCTACTTCACATTGTATTAGTGTGGTAGTTAAAATCATCAGCACCTTTGAATAGCCGTTGCTCAATCGTTCTTTCATCTACAGGAATTCTTTGATGATCGGTGTCATCGAGGATCAATATCTCCACTGTTTCTGCATCTTTGAAGGATGCTTCTAAATGTGTGATGAATCTTTAATGAGCATGCAATGTGACGCTTCCCCAGAGGTATACAGTGTTAAGACTGATGGCTGTTTTCATATGAAAACCTTCCCTAAGGTCTTCACAACTGCTGGTAATAATGAAACAGAGGCAGTTTCATGAATAGTTTTAAACTGCTGCTAACAGAGGACAACACTGCAGTTTTAACTACTAAGGGCATGTTTATCTAAGGAAAGAAATGTAGAATACAAATGAACTTGCATATCAACCAGTTAATGAAAATGATCAAGAATTGAACTTTTTTTTTTTGAGATTTTTTTGTGTTTTCATGTTCATTAAAGCATTGCTGCGTTAGCTTAGCAACATGCTAATGATAACAATTTTGAAATCAATTGAAGTAGCATGCAAAGCACTATTTGTGTAGGCAGTGGAGTTGCTAACTATGTAGAACACTTCAAATTGTTCACTTAAAGTTTCCATGATTAGGATGCTGTCTAGGCAGCAATATGAGTCACATGGTTTAGAAATTGAGCTATCAACCCTCTCGCCACTCTGTTTACAATCAGTCTGTCATCTGTTTGGGCTTGTGACTCATTACTGAGAGTGAAATTTGACTATTCTGACACTTTAGCTTAGTTAGAAAGCAAAGCTGATGGCTTTGTGCTTTGAACACAGAATGAATTAAACACCACTGGTAATATCACTGTTATGATATTGGCATCTGCCTTTTATTTTCTCTACTTCACATTGTATTAGTGTGGTAGTTAAAATCATCAGCACCTTTGAATAGCCGTTGCTCAATCGTTCTTTCATCTACAGGAATTCTTTGATGATCGGTGTCATCGAGGATCAATATCTCCACTGTTTCTGCATCTTTGAAGGATGCTTCTAAATGTGTGATGAATCTTTAATGAGCATGCAATGTGACGCTTCCCCAGAGGTATACAGTGTTAAGATTGATGGCTGTTTTCATATGAAAACCTTCCCTAAGGTCTTCACAACTGCTGGTAATAATGAAACAGAGGCTGTTTCATGAATAGTTTTAAACTGCTGCTAACAGAGGACAACACTGCAGTTTTAACTACTAAGGGCATGTTTATCTATTCAGACTAAATAGGTCATTAACCTGGGGCCGGATGGGCACTGCCCTCTCAGAATTACACTCTCCCGCCTCAAGAACAAAATTTGAATGTGTCCATATCAGACAACTTATCTTCTAAACAAGGACATCCATCTATCTGTCCATCCATCCATCCATCCATCCATCCACTTATCGATCCACTTATACATCCATTTATCCATCTATCCATCTATCTATCTATCTATCTATCTGCTCTGTTTATCCATCCATCCATCT